AAGCCAAGGCATCAGGCCTGGGCAAGGGGCAGAGCCAGCAATTGGAGGGGTCTGGGGGTCCCCTGCCCAGGCCTGATGCCTGGACCAGAGGCATCAGGCCTGGGCAAGGGGCCGATCCTACGATTGGAGGGTGATGGGGGTCAACGCCTGAGGGCTCCCAGTATGTGAGATGGGGCAGGCTGGCCTGAGGGACACTCCCCCCGCCCCCCTCTCCCACCCAGTGCACGAATTTCGTGCACCGGGCCCCTAGTAGTGAAATAAACAGCACGCTCATGTGGTGACCCTTCTTATGAGAAAATAAGTATTTATGTAAAAGATGAAAAGTAAGAGAATTTAGAAACAGAACTGAGAAATTGGGCTCATGGAGAAGACTGTAAAGAACAGCTATATCGGATGGATAAAAAAAGTATTGCTTCTGAAAGGCTACCTGTTTCCTCAATCTGCGATTTGCCAGAAATGGTCGAGGCCACGACCGCGGCGGTGGCCTGGTTCACCCCGCGAGAGGCTTGCTGTAGCTGGGCCAGGTTTGGGCTGTCCTTACCAGCTTTCACCTGCCAGAACCAAGCATGTTTAGGTTCACATAACATAGAGCGGTGGTCAAAAGTTGGGTTGAGGGTTCTTGACAAATATATCTGATCCACTGCGGTTACCAACCAACTTCTCAAAAATCATTGCCTGTGGGGTCAACTCCTGGCATATCTTTAATATAAAAGGTGCTTTCTGGCTTATTTGCTTGGTGATCTCAAACTAGCTTTCAGGGATTTTAATGAAATGCTCCATTTGTGAAAATCAATTTGGGATAGCAATAAATAAGGATGGCTAAAGAACACTTCCCGGGGTACTATAGAACTCACAGAAGGATACTGGTGACAAGCTTTGCATTAGGATTAGCTGGGGCAATGGTTCAAATCTGGAGTCTTGAGGAGAGGCAGACATTGACTGAGGAAGCTCTGGGCCGCGCCGGGCAAGCATCTGACTGCTCTGACTCACTCCTTATTTGAGTGCTCCTGGAATGCTGTGATTGCTTATCAGAGGTCGGCACAGTTGGGACCCTCAAAGGCCACTTGTAACAAAGGTGAGGAGAGCCAAGGGGAGCATGTGTGGTGAGCTGGGTGGAAGGGCTCCTTGCTGACAGATGCAAGGCTTTGAGAGGGAGGGGTAGGGGGACCCTTGAGAGTCAGAATTTTAATTTGAGATTCAACCCTCCTGGACCATGGAGAAATCATCTGTTCTGGAATCCAGCTTCAGAGTCCAAGTATCTCTACCCTAGCCAGGCCTCACAGTGTCCCAGGGAGTCCTATTACAGGTCCTACCTTGGATGCAGCCACAAGCTGGGCTGTGCTAGCAGCAATTTCATGGGAGCACACCATTAGCTCCTCGAACTTCCCTTTGCCTTGTACCACCAGATCAGCTGCATCACTGACAGTCAGGAAAGGACAACATGGATTATGTCACTGTGGCAGTCTCAGCTGCAACCCCTTATGATACCACCTCTAGACCAACCCCTCACCCTGTCGGCCAGGGAGCACAGCCTGCCTGTGCTGCCCCAGGAGACCCAGTCTCCCTTTTAAACTTTAGTCCTACTGACTTCCTTATCAACAGTGTATTTCTAGTGGGGATATCTCCCCCACCTCCACTTAGTTTTTCTCTGGGGTGATCAATGGAATGAGGGTGGGTGAGGAGCCTTGGGACCCAAAGACACTTACACCATGACAGTGGCTCCCCAGCCCACAGCTTTGGAGGCTGAGATGAGTCCTTCTGTCCATCGAGAATTCTTGGCATAAAACTCTTTAGGAGATGCTGTGCCCTAGGGAAGTGAGAAATAATAATAGCTACCTTTTATTGAGTGCCTCCTGTGTGCCAGGTGCTTTTATATATATATTACCTCATATAAATTTTCACAGCCACTCTGAGAGGCAAGCATTATTATTCCCATTTTACAGATAAGAAAAATAAAGTTTTGAGAGGCAAAAATACTTTTCCCAAGGTCATGCAGGAAATAAATGAAAGTAAATCCTAGGCTCTTCAGACTCCAAAACCCATGGCATTTTTATTATACTTCCAAATTGTACGTATGTGTGTGTGTGTGTGTGTATGTATGTATGTGTGGAATAATTTTAAAAAACTATTTCTACTTGGATTTAAAAAATGTATTAATGCTTTGAAAGTACCTGATAGTCTGAAAATCTACAGATACTCCTTGCTCAGTCCTTCTTTCTAATTTTGGGGCCCCAAAACAACATCTCTCAGACTGATAAAAAGCACCACCAAAACAGATATGGCTTCGTTCCTTATATGATTGCTTTCAGGCTCATAAACCCTCCCTGGACCTTTGTCTCTTGAGTTGCAGCTGCTTTAGGGATGTGAGAAAAAAACAAGATGGCAATAATGCCAGCAAAGGAGTGAGGAAATCCAAGTGACAATGTCAAGACAAGACTGAGGGCGAGTCTGTGAAGCACTGCAAGTTGACGGCTGCTGGAAAGAGACACGGCAGAGCCCACTGAGAAAGTCAGCGGCAGGTTCATTCTTCCGATTTGCCTTGTTTTCAAAACCTTTCACTTCCTCCTCCAAGGGCCCAGACTTGCAATGCACACTTGGTTTCCCCAGCAGGCTCCAACGATGTCGCCTGGGTTAATGAGCCCGGAGCTGGAAGCTGTGCCTGGCTGCTCTCTGGGGACCTGGCAGTGCGCCAGCTTCTTCCCATGGTCTGCTGACATCCCCAGGGACGGCAGCTGCGCCCTCAGATGGACACACAGGCCGAGAAGGCAACATACATAGATCTCACTGAATGTGGATGACTGTTTCGTGTAGACGTAGCCTCTCAGTGAGCTGGGAATCTGTAACTAATGACTACCCCGTGTCTGTTCTCCCTGTTCCCGGGCCCTCACCCATGCTTACCCGGCCACTTTCCACTATCTCTCTCTGGAGATCCTTCGAGGCCACAATCAGGACCTGAATAGCTTGCATTAGGCTGGTACATGAACCAAGAATCCTGGGGGGAAAAAAAAGGTGAGGATACAGAACTAATACCAATGAAGAAAACTGTTCTTGTTCTCATTCCTAAACACAGGCATACTTGGAACGGGAAATAAGGCAGGTTATGCTCTCCGGATGAAGCCCCAAAGGAAAGGCAGGTGAGTGAGGAGACTGGACTGTGGATCTTCTTCATAAGGAATAGCTAAGTGAGGATTCCTGGGGGGTTCTTTCCCCCTGTAATGCAACAGTGATACTATCTCCATCATTAATACTGCTATTGACAATTACATATTAGTAGACTCAACCTTTCCCTGTGGCTGCTAGTGTTCTATTCTAATTAGTATAAACCAGTGCAGGCAAGACTGACCCCGATCACTAACGCACCACCATGCTGTTCAGACTGACCTTTCGTTCACCTCTAATTTGACTCCCGTGTCTCCTTCTCGGGATTTGCTGAGCATCTCCTGTTAAAGAGAAGCAGGGTTTTTTTTAACACGTCACAGGTACTGAGAACCTACTGGCGTCCCACTACACTTTGGGTCCAGTATCCAAATCTAGAAGAGCCCATCCACATCCTTGTGAGAATCAGGAAAAGAATCTACGAGTAAACTTGTGATCTACTCAGTGCGGTCAGCTGCAGCAGGCTGCCTCTGTCAGTGCCTTGACATTCTGGAACCCAGGCTGGTGTGCACAGAACTCTGAGAGCTATGGCACCTGCTGGGAGGGGCAGCAGCTACCAGGTCCTACAGGCAGGTACTCACTCCAAGGTGGGCCATGTGTGACCTTTCCAATGGGGCCCACTCAGCTTTTCCGAGACAAGCATTGTCATTGGTTTTGAAATCAGAATCTTAGCGAGGTTAATGTAACTTACTGGAAGTCATGCAGTTAGTAAGTGGTCAGTCAATCTGGAACTTGAATGCAAGATAGCCTGATACCAAAGTATGTTGATCCTTGAGGAAATTGCTCACCTTCTAGTGGTGAGGACTTTCTCATTTTCTACCCCTGAGAGATCCTGGTATATTCTGGTTTTGGTTTATTTTTATAGGGAGTCTCTAAAGCCTTAATGAACAACTAAGATATATGAATAGAAAATGTTGCCAAAGGGAAGCTGCAAGAGCATCACTTTAGATCTTGAGACACTTCCATACTTCTATTGTTTTGTTAATCCTCACCCAAGGATATTCTTTTCCATTGATTTTTAGACAGTGGAAGGGAGGGAGAGAGAAAGAGAGAGAAAGAGAGAGAAAGAGAGAGAGAGAGAGGACACATCGACTGGTTGCCTCCCACATGTGCTAAGATTGAGAGTAGGGAGGGAACCTGCAACCCAGGTACATGCCCTTCATTAGGAAGCAAACCCTTTTGTGCATGGGACGATGCTCTAACGACTGAGCAATACTCCTTTGTTGCACAGGCTGATGCTCTATCACTGAGAACATTGGCCAGGGCTCCATACCTCTATTCTGGCTGTAGCAGTTTCAATGGCAGCTGAAGTGGCAGCCATCTCCTTGTCCACCAGGTCTCCTAGCTCTTCTTGTTTGATGTCCAGGCCTCTGGGCAGGAGCTCCTATGAACACATCACAAGGGCTGAAATGACTCTTTAACCTCTTCTCTTTTCTCCAGTGACAGACCTGTAATCCCCACATGATGGCAGAAGATAGGAGGGCCCCACCACATAGCACACTTCTGCAAGCCATGGAGGGGCATCCCTTATAGGCCTTGCTTGGAACTCTCTACCATGTGAACCCTGGAACCTCATGTTCCACCTCCTCTAGCTTCACTCAGAACCCATCTCCTTCCAGAAGGCCAACCCTGCTTAACCCCACAAGGCCATTCAGTTGCATCTACTTGGACCCTAACCCCACAGGAGCACAGCTGATTGTGTTTGCTGCTTGGGATGTGTTTTAAAAACCTCTTGAAATGTAGATAATGTCTTCCAACCAGACAGCCTGCCCCTTATTTAACTTTGCTCCCACAGCAATCATATGAGGCAGTTACTACTGTGTGTGAAATTCATCCTATAAACTAGTAATTCGATTCCTACATATATAAACTCTAGAGAAATTCTTGCACTCATTCATCAGGAGATGTGTATAGGAATGATCACAGTGACACATTCATAATAGCCCCAAACTGGAAATAACCCTGATGTGCATCAACAAGAAAACAGATATAATAGAAATTAAGCAATATGCACATAATGGAGCACAACAAAGGAGTGAAAATGAACATATCCAAATGGATAAACCTCACACACAAGAATTTTGGAAAAAGCATAGAATTAACAATATGTTGCTGGGGGTGGGGAGAACATAGTCTTTCTGTTATCTTCTGGAACTCTGATTAAATAGTCTATATATAGCCATTACATTCCAACTTATAAAATCTGTGCCATATTTAGATAATTCCTCCAGTTCACTAATTCTTTCTTCAGCTTTGTTTTAACTTGCTGGTGAATCTATATATTTTAAAGTTATTACTTTCAATGATTATATTTTTCACTTCTAGAAGTTCTATGGTTCTTTTTCAAATATATCTGCTTACATTTGAAACTATCTTATTCCTTTGTCTTGCTTTTAATAACTTTTAAAAGGTTCTTTAGCCCTAGCTGGTTTGGCTCAATGGATAGAACATCGGCCTATGGACTGAAGGGTCCCAGGTTCCATTCCAGTCAAGGGCACATGCCCAGGTTGCAGGCTCAATGTATAGGAGGCAGCCAATCAATGATTCTCTCTCATCATTGATGTTTCTATTTCTCCCTCTTCCTTCCTCTCTGAAATCAATAAAAAAAAATAAAAAAAAAAGGTTCTTTAACATGTCACAATAAACATAGTTACTGCAAACTTTTTTCCCCCCCAAATCTTATTCAGTATTTTCCATGTCCTGGGAAGATTCTCTACATCTGGTAAGCCCTAGTGTCAGGAAGGAAAACTACCCATGATCTTTCTATCACACTTTGCTTTGCTTTCAGTAATTTAATTTTTATCTCTTCATGGTGTCCTACATACTTTGCCGCATATATTGACTTCTCAATTCTGCACTATACGGGGTAAGATGCTTTATCTTCAACAAAAGGCAGACTGTGTTAATGTTGCCTAGGCTGACACACCAATTTAATAATACCAAATGTCATCACGATCATGTCACCCTATTGAAATAGAGGTTAGCAATTCACCATTCTCCATAGTCTTCCTTTATCCAGACATTCAAGGGTCTCCACTTCATTGCTTATTTCTCCCCAATATGAACATTCCACATTCCTCCCCAATCCGATCCATCTTTTTATCTGGTTTGTTCCCTCTCTCTCTCTCTCTCTCTCTCTCTCTCTCTCTCTCTCTCTCTCTCTCTCTCTATATTCAATTAAGTAAACACTTGTGGGGTGTTAACCACCTGCCAGATATTATGCCAGGGACCAGGGATACAATATGAAGAAGGTATGGGCTCTACTTCTGAGAACTCATTGGGGGGAAATCGGTAAGTGGCACATCACAGTGCTAGCCACCAACTGTAACGTGAAGGGAGAGTGCAGAGGGGCCCAGAAAGGTGGATAGAGCCCAGACTCTGGAGGTCCTTGTGTGTCACATTACATATGATTTTTGGTATCAAACTAGAGGAATCCTGGTCAGATCTCTGTTTTTGGAAGGGAGCAGAGAAAAAAGAGGCCCGAGGCAGAGAGAGTATCAGAAGGCTGTTTAAAGCGCTCAAATGAGAAAATGAGGGTCTGAACTCCGGCCCTGATGTCTTTCTTTCCTGAACTTATCACCACACATTTTAGAAATTAATTAAATGCTGCCTTGTACTGTACTCTCAAAATAGAACTCTATTTCACTTCTCATCGCACTGTATAGAAATTGCAGCTTTCTTTATTTTCCTTTCCTCTAGAGACCATGTCTTATTTGTTCCTATACAACCACACCTAGCACAAATCCCAGTATATAGGACATATTCACTATATCTTTATTGAATGAATAAATATATCATTATCTCCATTTTATTTTTATTATTTTTTAAAATGTATTTTATTGATTTTTTACAGAGAGGAAGGGAGAGCGATAGAGAATTACAAACATCGATGAGAGAGAAACATTGATCAGCTGCCTCCTGCACACCCCCTACTGGGGATGTGCCCACAACCAAGGTACATGCCCTTGAATGGAATCAAAGCTGGGACCTTTCAGTCCACAGGCTGTCGCTCTATCCACTGAGCCAAACTGGTTAGGGCCATTATCTCCATTTTAGGTGTTACCTGTCCAACCACATAAAAATCCTTAAAAACAGAGAAACCATGCTTATTCTTCTTTGATACTTCCTAATGATGACCACAGAGCAGATTCTTAATTAAAGCCAATGAATTAAATGTAACTGGAATGTCATTCAGGGGGGTCACATTTTTCAGCGCCCTCACTTTCTAGAATCAAGTTTAAAGTGCAGAAAGAACTGGCTTAGAACGGGCTCACCGACTTCCTGGCAAATCACCAGCACTCACACCCAAGAGCAACAATAACTTTCCCCAGAAGATAATACTGATCATACCTCGCCGATGGCCGCGATCTTGCTGAGGAAGCTCCTCAGGGCTGTGCTGTCGACATTCTCAAGGGTTCCGTCTTCCTCCAGGAAAGCCAGATAGAGGAGGGTTTCCTTGCCATACTGTTTACAGGCCTCGGTCAGTGCTGGAGACGCAAGGCAACAGAGACTTTTACAGGCCCTCTGCTCCCCCCGCTTCTCTGAATGGCCCCCTCAGCTCTGGTACTCACCATCGGCAGGCTCTGGCAGGGCTCTAAGGCAGGTGGTGCCGCCGTGAACAATGGTGTCGCTGGTCAAGTGGGCAAGGAGGGTGACTGAGTGCAGAAGCCCACTGATATCTGCCAGGAGTTTAAAGGAAAGTTTCTCAGTCCTGCTTGAGGAGTATCGCTTCCTTTCTTTCTTTTTTTGTTTGTTTGTTAATCCTCACCTGAGGGCATTTTTTTCCACTGATTTTTAGAGAGAATGGAAAGGAGGGAGGGAGTAGGAAGGAGAGGGAACGAGAGACAGACCAACATCGACCAGTTGCCTCCCACATGAACCCCAACTGGGGCTGGGAGTTGAACCTGTAACCCAGGTATGTGATCTTGACCGGGAATTCAACCCAAGACCCTTGGGTGCACGGGCTGATGCTCTAACCACTTAGCCACTTTCACTTTTCCTCCCTCCCTGCTTTATGAGTTGTACACACTCCTTGCTTGGTGCATAGGAACCCATGTTTCCACATTCAGGCATTTTTGAGCCCTGCCCTGCCATCACTGGTGACAGACCCTATCCTTGGCCTTTGTTACCTTCTGGGCAGGCAATATACCGGCTCCAGCATTTTTCCAGTTGTTCAATACAGCTGGAAACGGACTTGACCGTGGAGAGAAGGTGATCTGTGAGAGGAAAGACAGGGCAAAGTGAAAGTGAGAGTTGTCCTAGCTTGCTTCATTCGTCCCTGTTAAGTCAGTTGATGGATGAGCCTACCTAGTGAGTGGCCCCAGCCCTACAGGAGCTGCCCTGAGAAGAGGGAAGGGAGAAAAGCTTGTTGGTTACCCTGGTACGTGATTCTCTTATGGCAGCTTCAAAAGCTGTGTTTCTGAACCTGTCTGGTCTTTAGCCAAGAACCAGGGCCACCACATTGCCAGCCCAGATTCTGCGTCTCATTTCTCATTACTGCCCATTGTATCAAATCCAGGCTTTTCTGTGAAGTCTTTCAAGGCCCTTGGACTCTCATTAACCTTGAGCCCAGATCCTTGGCTCCCATCAGGCTAATCTGTGCGTGTGCTCCACACACAACAGTCATTCCCACTGCTGTGCCTCTGTGCACAGGTGTGTGGAGGCTGTGTCACAGGAGTCACAGCACGGGCTCTTTGGTCGCACGGCCTAGGTGTGGCTCGACCCCTAAGCTGTGATCTCGGGCTGTTTGTGCTTCCTCATCTGAAAACAGAAAACTGATAGCATCACCTCTGGCATCACTCCGAGGATTCGCTGGGCTAAGGCATATAAAGCGCGTAGAGCAGTGCGAGGCATACAGAAAGCACTCAGGAAATTATCAGCTGTTTTTATTATGATTCCCCACGTCTCTTCTCCATGGTTCATGTCTCTCCTCTTCTTTCAAAAGCTAGCTCCTAACATCTCTGAATCTGCCCACATCGGCCCCACTTCCTGGCATTCCCTCAGCACATTAGTACTCAGTGTGCTCCTTCCTTTGTAACTGTTGTGTTTCCTTACAGATGGGTTCCCTGCTGAATAAGATATAACAGTCCTTGCTGTACACTTCACCACACCGAGACCTTTCTACGTGATAATAAAAATCAGCTGTTAGCCGTTTCTTCTCATCTGCCTCGTGCTTCAGTGGAAGCTCTCTCTGCTTTGCCAACATGTCTTTTCTGCTTGAGAATGAGCTGTAATGACATCTGCTCATCACTATGGCTTCAAATCCCATGGGCCTGGATGCTCTCCTACTGTGCACAGAGGCTCTCTCCTCTCACCCAGAGGGCTTCTCTAGCTCGGATGGCTGCTCTACTCGCAAGCCCTTACAGCGGTTCTCAACCTGTGGGTTGCGAACAATGAAAATACATCCTGCATATCAGATATTTACATTACGATTCATAACAGTAGCAAAATTACAGTTATGAAGTAGCAACGAAAATAATTTTATGGTTGGGGGGTCACCACAACATGAGGAGCTGTATTAAAGGGTCGCGGCATTCAGAAGGTTGAGAACCACTGCTTAGGATCTGGTACGTGCCAAGTAGGCCCTCGCTCATACCTATGGCTGTGTGAGGACTTTTATTGTTTCTGTCCCTCCACACTTTGAAGCCTCCCTGTCTCGACTGGAAGCTCATGAGCAACCACCCCTTAATTCAGAGCACATTTTTCTCCTGAGACGCGGGGCTGTCTGCTCCTCCTCCTACCGGCCTTTAGAATTGTTACCAAGGCTCAGCTCCCAGTAGGTGTTGCATTGGTGTGATCCATGACTAAAGCAGTAGTTATCACAGCTGGGGCTTTAGACAGTACTGCTGCCCAGGCCCTGCACCAAAGAGCTTACTACTGAACTGGTCTTGGGGCCCCGGCACGCCCAGGCAATTGTGACGTGCAGCCAGGCTGAGAGCCTGAGTTCAGTGTCACATGGGATTTAATGCCAACAGGATTCAACACCTGCAAGCCAGGAAGAGTACCTGCAAGCCAGGAAGAGTACCTGCAGATCCGGCACAGCTGATGAGAGTGGGCTCCTCAAGCTGCCTCAGGGCCTCTTGTATCACCTGCTCTGCCGCCTTCCTTGTTTCTGACAGAAGCATTTTCCGTTGGTCCTTTGCGAGCTGGCACATAGATTCCTAGAAATGGTCCAGGGAGGTGAGAGTCTGCCACCGACCCCGTAAGAGCCTTCAGGCAGCATCCGTCTGTGACACAGCTGGGACTCCTGGTGTCTTAACTCAAGTTGTTGCTTTCTTTGTCCAATGTGTGTGCCACTGAGCACAGAAGGCTATGGGAATGGGTCACTGCAACCCATTCTCCAATCTTGGGGAGAGAGTGCTAGGTGCACCCCTTTTTCACACAATAAAGGAGAGCTGTGCTTTCCCTCGTCTGCTCTGTGGGTGACTCAGGGCATGCCAGCATCAGGGGCTCTTCCTACAGATGCCTTCACAATCAGGCTGGGGGCCCCAAACCCCTCCCACAGCCCCCAGCCTCCATGATATGCCGCTGAGGCCGGGGAGTGAAGTTGAACGTGGTCAGCCAAGGATGTCTGCGACTTGCCTGTGTGCTGGACAGTTTGAGCTGGGTGTTTTCCAGCTGTGCCTGAAGAGCAGAGAATTCCTCTTCTCGACGAGCCATGGCATTCACCAAACGGCCCTGCTCCTTCTCCAGTTCAGCAATCTGGGTCACCCATTTTCCTTCTGACTGCAATGGCGACCGAGTGGGAAGAGAGAGCTGCTGGGAGGAATGAAACTGTCCCTTCCCCAGAAGTCCAAACCCACCGCTAGGCCACAAGGAACAGAAGGTGATATCTCTTAACCTGCCAGTTTCATTTCCCTGGGTACACACTGATCACAGATGGGGCCAGGTTGGCCATATGCTGCATGGTGACAGGGGCTCGGTGACAGCCACATGAAAGCCAGAGGGGAAGGAATAAGGAGGGGGAAGAAAAAAGGTGGTGCTCACCTGGGCAGCTATTTCCAGGCTGCCTTGGACAACCTGGAGTTCCTGTTTGCTGGTGGCAAGTTCTTGCTTCAAGTTCTCTAGTACTTCCGTCTGTTCTTGAGTCTGAAAGAGAAGAAAAGCAGGAGCACCCTGATTTGGGTGGTGATTACAAGGGATAAACACATGTAAAAAAAAAAAATCCCTGAGCTATAAATGAGATTTGTGTACTCTTTTGTATGCAAAATTACCTCAGCAAAAAGGGGGAGTGGGGAGGTGAGAACTCAGAGTGTACCAAAATTTTTTCTTCTGAGCAAGTGGAATGTCAAGGGGGGGGGATTTTAAGGACATTGTCTGAGTGCCATGCTTAAGCCCATAATACTCATTAAAGTAGAAGTGGATCTTTAATTCAGGCATTCTAACACTGGTACATTGCAAAATCTTGCCATCTAGAAATGAGTCCCCTTCTTTGATTTCTAAGTGGTGTTTTTCAAAGAGTGTTTTGTAACCCATTAGTAAAATTCACAGCTAACATTAAAAAAAAAATGAAATAGAACAAATTATCCAAATGCGATCACATAGTAAGGATAAGTATTGCTTTGTGAAACTCTTGTTTTGATTAGATAGATGTATTTTTTTACTCTGGGTTACAGGAAGTGTGAAATCCCTCCCAATGGACCTGCCTGCCAACCCCACCCTGACCCACGGTGTTTGCCTGGCTGCAACTCCTTGTAAACACTTGTTCCTCTCTCCAATATCCATGTGCTTTTACTCCAGATTCTCTCCTGAGGAATCTTCCCGGGAAGGCCTTTGCTGATGAACCTCATTCAGCTTGCGTCCATGCCTCACTTCTAAACCTTGTGCCTCGGTAACCATTATCTATTCTATACAGCCTCTCGTAGCACCTTCACAGGGCTCCAACCCACAGAGCTAGCTACCGATGGAGCAGAAGACGACAAGGTCTTTGATCAAGGCCTGCCTCCAACTCGGATGGCCCCCACGTATGTCTCCCTCCCACTCACTTTTCGCTGGGCCTGCTCGCTCACGCGCTGGAAGGAATCCTCTATCTCTTTTTTCTCTCGTTCCAAATCCACCTGGGCTTGTCTGGCCACAGACACCTGTTTGGTCACCTCTGCATTCTGTAAGGGGAGAACATTGTCTTGAAGTGGCTCATCACGGGCTTAAAGGACATCTTCCTTCTAGAACAAATGGCAGCATTCAGATCGTGAGTGGCCTAGCGTTGGACACAGAAATCACTGTCCTACCCAGAGGGGAGCCAGAAGAAAGCTGTCATCTGCAGACATCAACTCTTAAATATTTAAAGAAATAATAAAAATGGGGGATAATGCAAGTGGGGCTAGCATCTAAGGTGGAGCTCAAGATATGCGAGGCAAGGGAGCCTGAAAGCTGAGGTTCCCAAGAAATGGTGGGGACCCACTGGAGACTAGTTGGGGCGCTGGACCCGGAGACGCCACGAGGCCCCAGCCGTTCCTTCCCCTGTGGTGCGGGGCCCATGCGCGGTGAGAGGGAGGTGGCGGGTCCTACCTTCCGCAGCAGGTCAGCGTGGTTCTGCACCAGCTCACTGTACTTCTCCTTCAGCTTGCTGTACCGCTGCTCATTGGCCTGGGCTTTCCCTGTATGGTCAAGGACCAAGGTGAGGACGCTACCCAGCTAGGGCCCTCCACCGGCCCTCCAGGAAGCCAGAGTCCCCAGAAGACCCTCATTTCTCTTCACAAATGCAAACATCTCTTCTCCCTCAAAAATCCTACTTAAACTCCTGGGGGAAGTCTTTTTTAAAAAGAATTCACCTGACTCAAATCACCAGTTCATGCCTCCTAAGCATTGACACACATGTATTCACTTAATCAGTGTTTGTGCTTTAAGTCATTTCTTGGGCTCCTTCTCTCCTACGGAGACCCACGCTCCTGGGGTAGGCACCCCCGTCACCTTCTGTAGTCCCCAACGCTGTGTTCTCAGCAGTGCCTCACACAGGCGCTCCACCTGCTGGACTCCCGGCTGACCTTTGACTGGTGGCAAGAGCTGGCCTTCCTGACAGCTCCTCTGGACGGATGCAAAGCAGGGTGGGGCTCTGCCACCCTGCCTCCTCCTCCATCCTGATCTCCCTGACCCACCCCCTCACCCCCACCCCCACCAGCTTCTCACTTTCTATCTCTGTCAGGCTCCGCTGCGCCTTCTCTGTGTCTTCTCGCTTCTTCTTGAGTTCATCCAGCTCTGCCCGCAGGAACTCGCTATCATCGGCCGCCTGCTGCCGCAGGTGCTTCTGCTCTGCCAGCTCGGCCTCCAGCTCACTGATGCGGCCCTTCAGCTGCAGGACAGCTCGCTGGCTCTGTGGGAGGGACTTAGGTAACGCGCCTGGTGGCCGCACTGCTGTGGGTCAGGTGTGCTGGGCGGAGAAGCAGGTCCTACCATGTGTCCAGCACGGACCAAATAAACACCTAGGTTTTCTAACAAGCCCACTCCCAAGGCCTCCTGAGAGCTGAGCTGGAGGCCATCCAATCAGCAGCAACAGGGGACGACGGTGGGGGTATTCTGGTCCTGTTAGAGTGGCTTGGGAGCAGCAATGAATGAGCTGGAATCAGGAAGGAGACATGTTCACCTGTCCCAGTGAATAAAGCCTCTGACCAGCTCTGGGTCTGAGGAGCAGGTAGATTTATAGCACCATTCGCTGCAAACAGCCATCAGAGTTGGAAGTCAAGCCTTCTTGTCACCATTTGATAACAGGTCTTTCTCACTACACTTCACAGCCATTTGGTGATCATGGTTATCTCTGAGGGACACTGGAGCTTGGCTTCAATGCTATTCTCAAAGCCAGGACAATAGAAATGCATTACAATTGAGACCATGGGAAGACCAGGTCCTCTGGCTTTGACATTTCTACTAACTAATGCCCTTTAAGATGTGGTCTAACAAGTATCGATGTGAAGAAAATTTAATATTAAAATCTGCCCTGCTCTGGTGAAGCCCAGAAACAGATCAGAACCCACTCATACCTCAGTCTTCATGTTTTCCAGCTGTGCCTTCAGCACACTGATCTCTTGGTACAATTGATCAATTAAGTGGCCCCTGTGAACAGACGGAGGGCAAGTTTGCTTCTACTGTGCTCCTACCCCTCTCCTTTTAAATGCAAGCTGGGAGATCAGGGGAGGAAGTGAAAAGTTGGTGTTGCCCTGGCCAGCTGCTCAGTGGTTAGAGCACTGGCCTACACACTGGAGGCTTGCCAGTTCAAGTCCCCCTCAAGGGCATGTACCTGGGTTGCAGGTCTGATCCTTCTTCTAGTCAGGGCCCATGCGAGAGGCAACCAATTGATGTGTCTGTCTCACATCAATGTTTCTCCCCTGCCTCCCCCCCCACCTCCGGCCCCCACACACACTCTCTTTGAAATCAATGGAAAAAAATATTCTCATTCCTTGGGTGAGGATTAAAAAAAAAAAAAAGACTAGTGTTAATCTGGGGACAATACTTTGAAATTCCATAAATTTTACTCTAAGACTGTCAGTATTACCAGATACTAATCTAACACCCATGGGTCCTCTGTTATTTCAGCATCATTTGGTTTTACTTTGGATTAAAGGAGCCAATATTTGACAGTCAAGACATTTCTCTAAGAAGCCCAAGCATCATTAAGAATTCCTCTTTCGCCCTGATCGGTTTGGCTCAGTGGATAGAGCATCGGCCTGTAGCATTAGCCTGAAGGGTCCCAGGTTCGATTCTGGTCAAGGGCATGTACCTTGGTTGTGAGCACATCCCCAGTAGGGAGTGAGCAGGAGGCAGCTGATGGATGTTTCTCTCTCATCGATGTTTCTAACTCTCTATCCCTTTCCCTTCCTCTCTGTAAAATATCAATAAAATATATTAAAAAAAAGAATTTGCTTAAAAAAAATAAAGAATTCCTCTTTCGCCCTGGCTGATGTAGCTCGGTTGGTTGAGAGCTGTCCTGTGCACCAAAAGGTCCCCAGTTGGGGTGGTTACAGGAAACAGCCAATCGATGTTTCTCTCTCACAGCAATGTTTCTCTCTTTCTCTCCCTCTTTCTAAAATCAATAAAAACATATTTTAAAAAAATAAAGAATTCCTCTTTGGTTAGGTGTGGCGAGTCAGATCATGGCTTAACTTAGTTTCTGTGTCATCTACATTAACCCAGCTTGGACTCACTTCTCATCCTTGTTCACACCGTTCTGACTGTTGAAATTGAAGGGATCACTGCTGAGCGAGCTGCCAAAGATGTCATCAAACTTGTTGTCAAATAAACTCTGCAGTGGCCAAAGAGGATTGAGAACAAAGTTAGAGACCCAGAGAATGCTGGGTGGGGGGGCAAAGGAGTCACGCCTAAGAATGGGCCCTATCTTAATTTAGTTAAAATCTACTTATGTTCCCTCTTAGGGACCACAGGGCAGGGTGTGCAGTCTAGGTTACAGCCTGGGTTAGAAGGCAGTGGCCAGAGCCCTTCCTGGCCTTTTCCCAGCACTTAGGGTCAACAGGAAGAGCCACGTTTCTCTCCCAAATGGTCCTCACCTGCTGGGAGGCATCCATGTCCATGAGGTCATCCTTCTCCAAGACGGGCTCGCTGTCAGGGGACGAGGCCTCGGCTGGGATTACCACCACGGGGCTGATGTGTTCCGACAGCGCGGAGGCTCGTAGGAAGTTGGGTGGGTTCTGAAGAGGGAAGACACATCCTCAAACTTCGTCATTCATTCGATCTGCCTCTAAAAGAGCGTCCTGGCCAGGTACACTTACCTCAGGCAGCTGAGGGATCTGAATAAGCCGCTTGAAGTACTGAAGGTTGCTGGAGCGGTAGAACAGATCTTTCAACCTAGGGATGGAGGAGGGCCCGAGGGGGCTGGGGTCTTCACCAGCCCCGGAGAGGAGGGGACAGTGCAGCCACCCAGCTTTCCTCCTGTGCCTGCCCAGGCCAAAGGCACAGGCTGTCAAGGAGATAGCCTCCACGGTGCAAGGATTCAATTATGACGCTATCGAGAAAGAGCATTTATAGCCAGTCCTTGCTTACCTGGTGGTGAGGAAAGAGGAACTCAAACGACAAAATCTTTTACAAGAGTAGATAACCCCTAAACTAATTTCTGCACCACTATAGAGTAGTTTATTGATTTTTAGAAAGAGGAAGGGAGAGGGAGGGAGGGAGAGAGAAACATTGATGTGCGAGTGTAACATCAATCAGCTGCCTCCTGCACGCTCCCTATCATGGATTGAGCCTGATACTTGGGAATGTGCCCTGACTGGAAATTGAACCAACAACCTTTTGGTGCACAGGACGATGCCCAACCAAATGAGCCACACCAGCCAAGGTAAGGTAGATCTCATTTTAATTAAATCACCTTGTGTTAGAGCTATTTGTTATCTTCCCAATTAGACAATCAGGTTCTAGAGAGCAGAGACTGGGCCCTGCTGATCTAGGTTTACCACAGTACCAAGCATAGAGGAATTATTTAACAAGTATTCATTGGGAGAATACTGTGGGCTCATCTTGGATGAATATGGGAATAAAGAAATCATTTTTTTTTCTCACCCTCAAGTCTCTATTTCGAATCTAAACATTGAAGGACAAGAAAGCTGAGAGCACCAGGCATATTTTCTGAGATGGAAGAGGGCATGGATCTCAGCACCTGCTCCCTGCAACACAGAATTTTCTTCCGCTTAGCCCAATAAACTAAATCCCTGGGGTCTCATGACAGCCCTTCAGACCCCATGGCTATGACCATCCCTGTGACGTCATTGCTGCTTTTCCAGAATTAGAGAGTTACACCTCAGAGGACCGCTGTGCCTGCTAGAAGAGAGAGTGAGGTGGATACTCATGGGAGATGTTTTCATAAGCTAGAAAAAATTAAAGGAAATAAAATCACCTGACTACACGTCTCCTTTCTGGAATGGAGCCAACAGTAACAGTCTCTACTGCTTTCAAAAGCTACTGGAATTTAACATTCCAGGAAATCAGCCCTAGGGCCTGTCTCCTAGGGTTTAGTAAGCCATTTGTTATAGAATAAACAGATGAGGCTTTTCAACTGGAACAAGGAAATCAAGAGGTTAGTACAACCCTGAACTTGTCCTCTGATTGCTGCCTGGGAACCAGTAGCAGCAGAAGCCTAAACCTGGGATTTGGTAGGTATGCTCTTCCTGTTGTCAAGGCTGAAGACATTAACAGGAAAAACAAGGGTGTCAAAATGAACCCTGCTACGCTGATTCCCTTCCTCGGTTCTTTTATCTCCCACTCCATTCCTTCCCCTCTTCCTGGACACACTTAACTGAGAGATGAGTTTTACTTTTTATCTAGCTACCAATTTTCTTTTCCAAATGCACCAGAATAATTAGCCTCTCAATCAGGCAAGCTCTTCTTCTTCTAGACTAGATAGTTGACTTACTAGCTCATTAATTCATGCAAATATTTATTAAACACTATATGCTTAATTGTTTTGTATCAGCCGCTAGGGATATAATAGACAAGACAGTCAAACAAGAAATAAAGCTGTGATAAAAACAATGAAGGAAGTAAACAGGGTGCTAGGAGAGAGAATACGGGGGGGTGGGAGAGATGAGGTTGGAGGATCAGGAGATGGGGACTACCCGACTCAAATAAGGGGACCAAAGACTGCCTGAGAGCAGGTGACCAAGGATGACCTGAAGCTGGCCAGTCTGGGCAAAGAGAATCCCCAGGAGAGGGAATAGTGTCCCCAGGAGAGGGAACAGCAAAATGAAGCCCCTGAGGGAGCACTGCACTGAGTCTGTTCCAGGAACTGGAGGAGGACCCTGTGTGGCTGAAATAGGTTGAGCTCTGGAGACAAGGTCAGAGATGGCAGGCAGGCATCAGCTCATGTAGGGGTCTTGTAAAGTAGAGCTTGGCTTTTATTCTCAATGCAACCAGAAGGCATCGAAAGGTTTTGAGCAAAGGTTTTTACATTTTTACAAGAATGTTCTAACTGCTGGGTGAGGATAGTATTGCAGGTGGGCAGAGTGGAAGTCTAGATGGGAGGAGATATGACCGGAGCCAAGATATATTTGTAGCTTGTGAACATTTGAACCTGTGAATGGATTTGGATATGGGGGATGAGGAAAATGATGAGTTCTGCCCTGCAGGTGTGGCTCAGTGGCTGAGCGTCAACCTGTGAACCAGGAGGTCACAGTTCGATTCCTGGGATGTGGGCTCAATTACCAGTGGGGGGCGTGCAGGAGGCGGCTGATCAGTGGATTCTCTCTCATCATTGATGTTTCTATCTATGTCTCCCTCTCCCTCCCTCTCTGAAATCAATCAATCAATCAATCAATCAATACAAGATGAGCTCTAAATCTCTGGCCTAAATGAATGATGGCAGTATTTACTGAGATAGAAAAGACCAGGGAGAAAATGGTTCTTGGAGGAAAACCTAGAGTTCGGTTTGAAATTTAAGTTTAATGTATAGATGTCACATAGACAATGTGGTAGGTGAGACTGGAGTTCAGAGGTAAGGTTCTGCTAGCAATACAGATTTGGGAATTGTGAGCACGTACATGGTAAAGACCACAAGAACTTAGGGAGAAGAAAAAGTGAAGAGGATGAAGCCCTGGGCATGAAGCAGGTGATGAAATCGCCTTCTTCTGTGTGCTTTTATGGGATTTATTAGAGAAACAACAGCTTCCCCAGACACTGATAGGTTTGCCACCCCCCTAATTCTTTTTCTTCACTTTATTGCTTTAAAATACCCTCATTCCTCAATTATTTTAAAGCAAATGCTCTTGTATGGACTGACTTTATGGCACTCTTTTGATTCGCCTTCATTTCCATCACTTACTTTGTGAACTGCTCCATGAAACGGTCCCGGTGGCCTTGCAGGGTGTCAGCTGGGAGACCTGGGAGAAATTGTAAGAGTGAGAAGGATGAGGAGGACCAGCAGGCAGGTCAACCCACAGGGGACCATCTCTCCTGGGGCTTGTGGCCAACCCTGCCGGTGGGCA